AACTTTTAAAAATTCTGTATTTCGAAGGGGATTATAACAAAATATCAAGTGTGCTATATTTTTGGAAAGGTAATTTTAAATTCTTTTCAGTTAATTAAAAATATACAGGGTGTCTCAAATAAAAAATCAATTTTTCTGTTGATAACTCATATTATTAATTTAAAAAAAAATATACTTAAACCATTAAATTCTATGTAAAAAGGTGCTTTGGAAATGTTTTCATAGAAATACAAAATTTTCCATAGCAAAAAAGTTACAGCGATTTGTTATCGCCAATTTTTGAAAAACACCCCGTGACTCCGAAACGGTAACAGATATTGATGTGCGGTTTTCACCATCATGTTTTTGATGAAAATTGATCTCCAGATACCGACATAAGTTTTCGTGTAGCTCCTATAGAAAAGGGTGTTTCCCTTTAAAAGCGTCGAATTTGACCCACCCTGTACACTCACTGTCACGAAAAATGGGCACTTTAAAATTTTCATATATTTTAAAGTTTAATATAATTTGTTCTAGTGGGCCGATTTTGATGATTTTTTAAACAATTTTTAGCTATAAATTATTTGACTTTTTAGTGTCTCTTTTTAAATTAAGAGTGAAAATTTTCATCTGTCAATTATACGAGAGAAAACAAATTGTTGATATTTTGGTAAAAGTTTGAATCACCCTGTGGAATATGTTATCTAAATAAAAAAATTTAAAATCATTTTATCATCTAGGTATATACATTCTAGATAGTTTGATTTTTGATTCGTCTCAATATCTTTGCTTTTGGGGGAGATATTCGTGGGAGTTTTAAACTATCACGAAAATATCAACATTTTGTTTTCCCTTGTATGATTGACAGATGGCAACTTTCATTTTTAATTTAGAAAAGGACATTAAAAAATCAAATAATTTAGTTACAAATTGCTTTCAAAATCATCAAAATCGGTCAACTAGAACACAATATCTAAAACTTTAAAATAGATTAATATTTTAAGGTGCCCGTTTTTCGTGCCTGTGAGTGTATTAAAGTTCTTAAAAAATATATATTTACAGTAAAATTAGATATAAATAGATTATAATTATTTAACAATAAAAATATTAGATGTGCTACTGAAACTAAGTCGAATTGAATATCCTAACTCTTTTTGGCAAGTTTTAAATAAAAGCGAAAATGGAAGAAAATATACAGAGTGGCGCCTCTCATACGACGCGGAGGCTCCAAGAAGAACGGTAGTATATCAAAATAATTTTTGGGAGCATCTGTACGTTAACTGAAAGCACCTTTTAAAAATATAGAGAGTTCTACAGGGTGTCTCCAAAAAAAGTTACACATAAAAGTTGTGTTTTTAGTAATGGAACACCCTATATATTAATTCATTTTCGGATTCTAGGAGGTAAATAAAGGTGAGTTTCATTAGAGAAGTATATGACGAAAATACAATGTTTTTGACATATTTAACATTTTTTAAAAATGACGAACAATTTATAAATTTCAATAAAAGCTACTTAAACTGGAATTTTACCAGTATAGTCTAATATGTAGTTAAAATAACTATTGTACTTTTTAGCCGACCATACCAATAGGTATGGTAGGCTATTAGGATCGGCAAAAAAAAGTTTTTTTTTAATTTCACTCAAAATGAGTTATTTGGGTCATAAATGACCTAAATACAAAATGTTTTCGTGGTGTGTGTGTCTGTCTGTCTGTCTGCCGTCTGTAACACGATAACTCAAAAACTGCTGAACCGATTTTAACCAAATTTGGCACAAAAATACTATGGCACCCGAGAATCTGGCCATTATTTTTTGGTGGGGGTGGGGGGTTGGTAAGGGGGTATAGGAGGGGGTTAAAAATTTAAAAAAATCGTAACTCCAAAATTACAGTAGCTAGCGAAACGCGGTTTTCAAATTAAGATTAGGAATAATATTTGCAACAATTTGTAATAACATCAAAATGAGTCAAAGTAGCAGTTTTCGAGATATTAACATATTTTAGTATGGGCGGCTATACGTGCCTCCCGGCGCCATTTTTTTTAAATGAAATTAAAACTTGACTCAAAAAATTAGACAGGGTTCTCAAAAAATTGGGCAAAATTAATATTGAACATCGGTCATCTTTAATATTTGTTTTTTTTTAATTACCAGAATTATTTAATACTTTACTATCAGAATATAAACGAAAATAAAATAAAAAAGTCTTTGCCCTGACCCGGATTCGAACTCTGAATCATCGGTTGGTGGTCGAAAACTCTACGCACTGCGCTATGGAGACATGTTCAATTTATATTCAATACTAGAATTTATAGGACTTAATTAATAAAAAATATAGGATCTTCTTCCGATGCGCAGTAGTGAACGCAACGGGTATCGGCAGCCAGACGGGCCGCATGCTGTTCCAGAGAGCATAGTAAAAGATATATCAAAGAACCAGACGTCTTAAAATACTTCCTCGAAAACGTTGCTAGCTCTTAGACTATTAGATCTTTATTATTTGATAATTAATAAAAAAAATCTAAGGGGATGTGATATGTCTGACGTTACTTCAACATAGATGTCAAATTAGTTCAACGTTAACAACCAGTTATAATTTTGTGTCAGTTTAAAGAAAACAAATTCTCAGAAATTTTCCGAAAATTAAAACTTATCCAACATCAGAGAGAAAGTGATATTATTCTATTAATTGATATCTGTAGTGTGCATTCGCCCATTCATAGAATGCGTAAATGCTCCTGATTTATCTAGTCTGGGCTTTTTTATGGGGATATGTTAAGACAGTGCTTACAAATCTAGACCAACTATTATCGACAACATTAAAAAACATCTAAAAGATCTTTTGAAAAGGGAATCATTTTATGCGGTGAACAGGAAAAGAAGCATTTTGAGCATTAGATTTCAACTAGCTAAAATTTGTCGCATATTCATACACTTATATCTAGTTTTAATTCTGTAATAATTAAAATATGTTTTAAACGTGTATTTTTTTATTACCGCTGAATATTTTACTCTACATCCTTTAATTTTTGTTAAATTAACAAAATATATATCACAGCCATCTAGATTTTATCAAATAATAAAGATCTACCTGACGCAAAATCATAAAAATAAAAATATCTAGGAAAATCTTTGACTAAGGGGTAGGCAATCTTAAGAATATCTTGAAGGTATGATGAATTCACCATTGACTATCGGAATAATATGCTGGGTGCTGGGTGTTCCATTTGAAATAAAGGAGTAATTTGCTTTTAAAAGTGACCAATGTTTAATACAAATTTGATCCTACCCTGTATAACTTTTTAGGTTAAATTTAAATTTTGTTTAACATTCAATGGCTATTTTAACGAAATATATACAGAGTAAATTCCAATTTATGTAACTTCTATTGAAATTTGTTCTTCGTTTTTAGAAAATGTTAAATTTGTCACAGAACTTATACCTATTTTAGTCATATACTTCTTTAATAAAACTCACCTTTATTTTTCTCCTAGAATCCGAAAATCAATTAATATATAGGGTGTTCCATTACAAAAAACACAACTTTGACGTGTAACTTTTTTTGGGGACACCCTGTAGAACTCTCTATATTTTCAAAAAATGCTCTGAATTAACCTACATATGCTCACAAAATTTCATTTCGATATAAATGACCGTTCTCCTTGGAGCCTCCGCGTCGTATGAGATGCGCCACCATGTATATAATTTGTCTCTAATGCACAAATACAGCGACATACTCCATCGTCTATCTTTTTATTCAAAGGTACAAATACAATGGTGAAAATCGAACCACTATATATTTTCATTACAAATACAAATTTGAATCAGTATTTTAGCACGTAATATTTATGTTGTCTGTTGTGAATACAGCCGTTATTTACCTACGTGTGCATTTCCTCTAATTGAAATACTCTCGTAGTTTGTAAGTATTTAGAGTTGCTGTTTTTAAACCTTTAATAAACCAGTCTGGAGAATATCCTTATTTAACAAACATGAAATCGGTAAAATTAATTTTACTATACAGGTTGGTCCGAATTGTATTCCAGAAACTGCGGCAGCATATTCTGCAGATAAAAATAAGTTCGTATAAATGTACGTCCTGAAATACTTGGTATTTGTAAAATGTAAAGGTATTTCGGAGATACAGGGTGTAGAATTTTCATTTTTATTTCGATTTTATCCAAATAATTTCTGAAGTAACATCAATATTTGGATGAAAATTGGTGTCTGGGAATTTTTTGACATGAGAAATTTGATTTTAATGTCAATATGACTCCTAGCAGATGGCACCACCTACATATTTTTTAACTGGTTTGAGGAGTAATAACTTTTCGTCCGTACCTGTATAAAACAACTGAGTAAAAAAATACGCATCTACGACGTTTTTTACGTAAAAAAGTATCTTTGTAAAAATCGCTACGAGTTCTACGAAAAATTCTCGAGATATTTGGAATCCAAATTATCCCAAAAATGACCTAAAGTTCCCAAATTTATCACTTTAGTTTAAATATCTTTAGAACCGTTGCTTATAGCGATATTTATACCAAGAGACATTTTTTTCAGACTCTTCAAAACAGTTAAAACACATGTAGGTGACGCCCTCTACAAATAGGAGTAATATTGACAACAAAATCAATCTTCTCATGTCAAAAAACTGCCACACACCAATTTTTACCCAAATAAATATTGAGGTTAGTTCAGAAATTATTTGGAAAAATCGAAATAAAAATGAAATTTCTACACCCTGTATCTCCGAAACTAAGCATTTTATGACATACGTTTGTACGAACTTTTTTACTTATTTTTATCTGCAGAATATGCTGCTAAAGTTTCCGGAATACAGTTCGGACCACCCAGTATATTCCAATATCAATATTGAAGCATTTCATTGATATAATTTAAAGGCTTTTGTTTTTTTTCTGGATTTAGAAAAACATTACCTGAATTTTTTTCTTTCCCGAAAAGGTTATCCAACTAAAACTATTTAAAAGATCTTTAATTCGAATCTGATTTGTTCGCAGGAATTAGCCCACAAACTGTCGCGTAGTTTCGACATGAAAGAGGACTCGTCGATGCTGGAAGGGGACGGGATGATGCGCAGACACCAATCGATGCAACGACTGACCAGAGATGGCGCAGCGGAATCCAGGGAACCACCGCGCGTCCAAACGGACGAGGAGGGCAATCTGAGGATAATGGTGAAGAAGACGAAACCCATCCTGGGGATTGCGATCGAAGGAGGAGCTAACACCAAGCATCCTTTGCCAAGGATTATTAATATTAATGTGAGTATGAATGGTATAAATGGCTGTATTTTCTGTTTGCTGGATTCACCAGTCATTATCAAGTAAACACTAAACTAAAATCACTGTTCTCCCTAACAATATTCCATGTCAATCTGGTATACAGATCAAGTAGTACAGAGAATAGTAGGGGAGACCGAGGGGAGTTGAAACAATTTTGACGTTTTACTTTATAGACAAAATACTAAAGCTAAACATCGATCTGTTGAAATTAGTATCAATTGATAATAAATTTCTTGTACTTGCAAATGAGTAACACAAAGAGAGAGTTAATGTGAATTCTAGTAACAAAAAGTCGACTTAAACGTCACAAGTAATTTTGTTTCAACACCCCTCATAGCGAGGTAAGTTGAAACAGGAGTCGAGGTGAGTTGAAACACACAATTTTTGGGTAGAAATAGGGATTGTAACGTAGAAACAACCATATAATTTAAAGGTATTTATTGAAATATATTATTCTGATAAGCAATTGTGACAAATATATGAATGTTGGCCACCAGTGCTTCATCAGCACAACTCTTGTATTTTCAGACATTGGATCCATTTTTCTTTGGCTTTACTACTTGAGTAGGGTTCAAAACAACAAATACAATAGCATTCCCCTTCTTCTTCATCTTCACTGTTTTTTTTTTCTTTTTTCTTCTTATTAATCTTGGTCTTTTTAGTTTCTAGTTTGGATATTTTAAGATTTTTTGGAGCTTCGAAATTAAGGCTTTTAACTTTTTTCTTTACCAAACCAGCGGACTCAATAGCAGCCAATTCATTTTTTACAGGCCTAATACTGCGGTTTTCACCTTTCGTCGGTTCGTTTGATTGCCTTTTCTTGGTGAAGTCTTTGGCAAGGGTCGGAGAATTTCGGGCGAGAAAGGTATTGTCACCACAGTTGAATTATCACGTGATGTGGATGCCACAGGCACTATAGTAGATGTAAGATCTGTGAACGAAATGTCCAATTCAGTGATTGAGGGCAGTTTTGAAGTATCAGGTGTTATCTTAGAGTTGTTATCAGGGTTTTCGGCAATATTGGACACTTCCTCAATTTCAAAGCAGATTTCATTCGTTTTACTAGTAGTAGTCACAGTTTTTTTACAGTAATAGTTACAGAGTACCTTATCCTCTGGAGATGAAAATACAGTTATTTCTGGAGATCCAACTGATTGAGGAATCCTAATTTTATTAGATTTTATTATTTTTTTAATATACCAGTATGGTTGAGGTTGTAACTCGAAGCCGCATCACGAAGACTTTTATGTCGCAATATTACTTCTTCTGCAGTGAGCTCATATATTTCGAGGCTCGCCATACCTCTATCGGTCTTAAATAAACAAATAATCCACAACATATATACAAATGAATGATACAAAACTTAAACGAGGTGAATTGAAACAGTCTGTTTCAAATCTCCTTAGTGAAAAAATCGTCCCAATTTCTATTCAACTAAAAATCAAGAAGTAAAACACATAGAACCTTGCTATGAAGTGAATCGTTAATTAATAAACTTTCAAAACGTATATCACACACACTCGAATACAAACGCATTATCCAGAAAATACGATTTTAAAAAAAGTCTACTACTTACTTTTTACGATTTTTTTTACGGCGTAGAACCTAAAACGACATTACTGCACATTCGGAGGATTGCTAATTCACGGACGAGTATTGTGGGGCTCGCGGGCGGTAAGAAGCAGTTGATATTTGACGTTGTCAGCTCTCTAACGGTTTTTAGTTCCGAGAAATCAGTGTTTCAAATAACCTTTGTTTCAAAACACCTCGGTCTCCTTTCGAGCTGAAAAAATCAATTGATGATTTGATTAGCATTAGCTTGTTAGGACTGTGTTATAAAAATTGGTTTTTATTAGGAAAATGGAGCAGCTTATTCTTGCGGAGGCTTAGAAGTGGGTCAACTGATATTGCAAGTAGATGGAACCCGTGTCGAGGGCTTACAACACCAAGATGTAGCACGACTGATAGCAGAATCTTTTGCTAGAAGAGATCGAAGTGACATCGAATTTCTGGTAAGTTAGAACTGGACAGATTATCAAATGCCATAGTTCATAATGAGCCTTCAATAGTTTTTTTCCTATTCAATTATTAATTAAAGTAAGCATTAAATTTTATGAGCTATTTTTATAAGCAACTATACAATATTCTTGGGTGTTAGTGTTTTTTACGACGATTTTTGTTAATTCTGAATCTCAAGACAGATTTTGATACTGCTCGTGTAAAGGTTGATTCTCAATTCTCACTATACCTTGCATTTCCATTCCATATCCATTCCATATCCGTTCCGTATTTTTTTATTGTATTGACGCTATACGTATAAGCTTCCGTTCCGTATCAGTTCCATACTTTTTATTGTACAATTTATATCATTACGAAAGTTTAATTTCAAAAATTTAGATTTTTTGAAAAAGGTAATAGATTTAATTAAGGGATGAAAGAATAAATAAATATCAGCAAAATGTTAACAGAGCTGGTACAAATGTAAGAACTTGATAACGCTGTTTCCGATACGCTCAGTCCGTCGGTCAAAAAAATGTATGGAAGGAAAGAATATGGAAGGAAACGATATGGAACGAAAGGGATACGGAAGGGAACTGATATGGAAGGTATAGTCAACCTTAAATGGGATTGTCAACAATCAACCTTAAATGGGATTGTTTTTTTACTTGACTGGCCATGGCGTGATTATTTTGGATTTTTATTCAAATTTGATCAAAATATATTACTTTGGACAGTTACGGATAGGGTAAATTTGTTAGCTTAAAGACATGTCTCATGAAATATTGACTAGTTTAGTTCGTGAAAAAAAATCTTTAAGGGATTGGAGAACTAAACAGCACAAGAACAGTTATTAATTATTCGTGTGCTAAACAGTATTATAAGAGAGTAATATAAAAAATATAGGAACTGGAATCTGAGCCTAACCAAAATAGAAACAAAATTGCCATTAGATACAAAATGAAAAAATGCAAGAAAAAGGTATCTAACCAAAACAATTAATTTACCAACTTAGAGACTATGGATGGATAGAGTCCTCTATTCCGATCCTCTATTAAATTTGTCCTCCGGAAACTTTTGAAACAGTCTGAAAGAATAAATAATACTTGAGATATGTTGATATAGAGTTCTTCTTCTTCTTCAAATGCCTTCTTCGTTGCGAAGGTTGGCAATCATCAGTGCTATACGTAATCGTGACACAGCCGACCGAAATAGTTGGTTTGTGGTGCACCCGAACCAGTCACGTAAGTTTCTCATCCATGAGTGGCGCCTTCTTCCTACACTTCTCTTTCCTTGAATTTTTCTTTGTAATATCAGTTGGAGTAGGTGGTACTTTTCTCCTCTCATGACGTGTCCAACGTACTGAAGTTTACGCTTTTTTACCGTTATGATAATTTCTTTTTCCTTTTTTATTCTTTTCAGGATTTCCATGTTGGTCACTTTATCGGTCCATTTTACCCTAAGTATTCTACAGTACAACCATATTTCGAATGCCTCTAGTTTCCTTATGTCAAGTTTCTTCAGAGTCCAAGCCTCTACACCATAATACAGCACCGACAAAACATAGCATCGCACCATTCTGATTTTTAAATCCAAGCTGAGATCGCTGCCACAGAGTAGTAGCCTTTTCATTCTCAAAAATGTCGTTCTCGCCTGTCCTATTCTAGTTTTAATTTCTTCAAAACAGTCGTTATTTTTATTTACAATTGTACCTAAGTATTTATTTATAACTGTTAACTTTTTCTATGGTGTGGTTATTTATATGAATTTGTGAATTGTTTTGTGTTGTTTTGGATATTATCATAAATTTTGTCCTTTTTACATTTAGTGAGCAGTCGATATAGAATTAGGTCTACATAAAAATATCGCTAAAATTAAAATGCAAATAATTATAATAAATGAAGATTGTGTTTTCTAAGAGGACTGGCTTGACATTTACAGAAATTACATATAAACATAATTAATATAATTTACTTAGCTTTAAATTATAAAGACACTAATCAACTGAGACTTTCTCCTGAACTGTTCTTCGTCTTTCCTCCTAACTACGTTTTCAATCGAATGCTTAGTACGCATCAGCTGTACAAGAAGTCACGTGATGTGGCGTCATTTTTTACTAAATATATTATGGTAAATTTACACAAGTTTTGTGAATGTGTCTAGACACATGCAATTTTACTTATTTACTTTATTTTTATGAGTTTCTTATTAAAAATACTATAATATATCAATATTTTTTTTGTAAAATTAGGTGATCGAGGCCAAAAAGAGCAACACGGAACCGAAACCGACAGCGCTCATCTTCCTCGAAGCATAACATTTGCTGAGCCTCCCCCCTAGCGACCCCCCGGGGCCGATCATCGTCACCGAGGACACCGAGCCCGGACCACCGCAGGACTACTGACGACAGTCCTCCAGGCCGACGACTACCGAAACCGTGCAGAGGAACGCTTGCAGTTGGTGCCTGTGTCAGTAAAAGTACCGGCACCGGTGTTAACTGCAACAACAAACACTCGTAGATCCAAATATAGTGGAAAAAAATGATCACCCCCTTAACTAAGCTATTCCAACACAACAATGTGACTGATTGTATGCTTAAAATGCGGAGGTTTTCGGAACAATTTAGATGTCCAAAAACACAGGTTTTGACAGTTTTTTCAAATCTCGCAGATCTTTTTATTTAGCTTAGTTGTATGATTAGTTCCCCATACACCAATGGATGAGTTGATCTAGCAGACTATCCTTCGACCGTTTCTAATTGATTCTAATCTGACAGGTGAAGCCTACGGTTTTGGCCTGTGACAGATTCGGTTCCCAAGAAGACTGATTCACTACACAAACATAAAGTTTTATAGATGTGTCTGTCATTTAAATTTCAAAGTAGTTCTTTTATTTTACAAAAAAATAAATCGGTACAATTGGAGCACAAAGCAGGAAACGAATTTTAGTGACAAATTATTGCTTCAAAATATCATAAAAAAAAACTGTAAAAACTGAGAAAATCTAATCAAGTTATTGTGTTTCAAAATCAAAATTTACGGTGTGTATTAATACAAAACAAAAAAAAACAACACATACAAAAAATCTATAAAAAGAACTATTTTTTACTTTCAAACTTTCAACAGACTCTTTCATTATTATATTCATCATTATAAGTTATGTACAAATAAAGAAGTTTTAATATTGCACAGGAATTAAAAAAAAATATTTTATCAATAATAAAGTTTTAAAAACAAAGCTAAATGCCAAAAATAGCATAACAGCTATTAACACCTCGGCCTTACCTATTGTAGGATACTTTTGGAATCTTGAAGTGGTCGGCTACTGATCTTCAGGCTCTAGACAGAATGGTTCGAATCCTCCTTACCTCGCACCGGAGTCATCACCCCAACTCCTCAGTAGCTCGATTGTATATCTCCAGAATGTAAGGCGGTAGAGGTCTGTTATCCATCGAATCGAATCAGCAGAAACAAAAACTGAATTTAATAAATCATTTCAATAACACCAACTTACCTTTATATCATGCACTGATACAAGCAGACAAAAACTATACACAACTTAATATCTCAAATGACAAAGAACTACCACAGAAAAACTCTGACGCACAATGGATCCTAGAATGGCAAGGCAAAGCAATCCATGGAAGATTTGCAGCTGCACTCCACGACGCGGATGTAGACAAAGACGAGTCGTCGCTGATCAGGTTGTGGCAAATGGCAACGCGGTATTATTCCCGGTTTATTCTCAAACTTAATATTCCTACGGAGTATGCGGTCAAAAGCCTGAAACAATAAACCATATTATAGGGGGCTGCTCCGTTATTGCACCAAAAGAGTACCTGCACAGAAATAATAGTATTGCGAAAATCATACATCAAAACTTTTGCAACAAAATTAGACTCAGTGTAAGTACTGAGCGATACTATAACTACCAACCACAGTCAGTACTTGAGAAGAGTATTTAATAGATATTTACGATACAAGTGAGTTAACAGCATCATTAAGATGAGTTGCGAGTGAAAGTTCTTCTAACGAGTGCGTAGCACGAGTTGTGTAACCACACAAGTATCTTAATGGAGTTAACTCGCGTGTATTGTACAATATTTTATCTACATCTATAAAAACACACAATGAATTTTAAAAATTATTGTACTTAACTATATAGGTACCTATCCTAAAAATCAATTACCTTAATACCTTTGTTCAAATAACACCATGCATGGCAATGTCAATATGACAGTAAATAATATTGATGTCACTAGTTTAAAAAATGAGCGATTCGGAAAGTATTCCCTCTGACATTGAAAAAGAGGCATTCAGACGGCACCTGCGAAATAACAAGGCATCCTGCCGTGACGTAAAAATCTCGTGACGTCATGAACTGGAGGCGTAACTCTATTTAGCAGCGTTGATAATTACCCGATAAAAGTACAAATTGTGGGTCTTTTTTCCGTTTTTTTTTATTTATTAAATATAGAGGATATTTATATCTGAAATTATAAACCTATTTATATGGCCAAAATATTACAGTCCAGGTAAATGCTCTAAAAACTCCATTTTCTTTAAACAACATACAACACTTGAACGATTTACTAGTTTTAGGAGATACTGAAGATGAAAATTTGGTTAAATATACTTGAAAATACTGAACAAATTATTATATATTATAATATGTCTTGGTTTTTTAAAATTCTTTAAAATGTAATGAAATAAAACTTTTATTTGTGATCAATTAAAGTTATTAACTTGAGTTGTGTAAAAAGTTGAGCTTGAAGTAATAAAATATTGTTTTAATGAGTTAAATATGAGGTATGTTTTACTAGAGAAATTGAAACTGATCCTCTTGAAAGGAGATTTGGAAAATATAGACAGGTAGCTGGGAGTCAGTACAATGTTTCTATTCAATAATTATATGAAGGGTAAAAGAAACCTAAGATTAATGTCATTAAAAATTCGGTGCAATTAAAGTTTAAAGCTATTATATACGTATAAAGAGTATCAAATGTAATCAAAGTTTAGGCCTCCAGTTGATGACGTTACGAATAAGCTGTCCGGCCTTGTTATTTCGTCGGTGCCGATTCAGAGCCATTTCTGGATTGCTTCCAGCAAAATCGAAAGAGAAGTATGAATGCATACTCTAAGTATGAAAAATGGTGCACCGAAAAAAAAGGACACAACTATGGAAATGAAAAGGTACTCATAACATATTATAATAAATAAGTTTTCATATTTTTATAATTATTATCAATAGAATAGTATATTTGTATTTAGTAGGTATTTGGTGCAAAATAAATGTTTTACAAAATATTTTTTAAAAAAACCAACCCAATCTAAACAAGGAGTGCGGGAATGAAAATGAGTGAGTTGAGAAGCTCTTAACTCACTCAAAATGCGTGAGTTAAGAGCTTCTTAACTCACTGATCGTACTAAACATATATTATACTAGATATACTGCCATTACTCGCTGACGAGTATTTGACACGCATCAGAAGATGGTCACGCAAGGCGCTTTCTTTCATGAGCCTTTCTGTGACTGAAAAGCCCAATACGTGATGTTATTTGTCTACCGCACTCCGGACATTCAAAAATCTCATTGCTTTGTTGCCTCTTAACTTTTTGGTTCTCGCTGTTAACTGAGTTTACAATTCTTCTCCATTGAGTTCTATTGTGAGCTGCTACTTCCCACTCGTTCTGCACATTAATCCCCTTTAAGTTTTCGTGGAAAATGTCCTTGTACCTTTTGAGTTGTCCACCTGGCCTCCTCTTACCGTCTACAAGCTCACCGTAAAACAGTGATTTTGGTATGCGGTTTTCTTGCATTCTGCATACGTGACCAGCCCATCTTAGTCGGGATTTTGTAACCATGACTTCAATACTCTCGCAGTTAGCTTTTTCAAGAACCGATACGTTTGAGACGTGATGGAACCATTTGATTCTTAAGAGTTGTCTAAGGTGTCTCTGTTGCAACTTGTTTAATGCGTTCATGTGTCGGCGGTTTCGCCCGACACCCAGGTTTCGCTCCCATATAACATGGTGGGGATTATTATTGCTCGGTACACTGCAAGTTTCGTTTTTGTGCTCAGGTCATGGTTGTAAAAAACCCTGTCTTTTAATTTCTAGAATGCTCTTGAAGCGCTGCTAATCCTGTGCTAAATTTTAGAGTCGATATTGGCCTTTTCCGAAATCAAACTGCCGAGATAATTGAATTCCGCTACATATTCCAGTAGTTCTTCTCCGATTTTTATAGCATTGTTGTGATCTTCCGGGGGAGTGCACATGATTTTATTTTTGTCGATGTTTAGCTTAAGGCCCAAAGCTTCGTATGCCCAGGTATATGTGTTCAACATTTCTTGTAATTGCTGTACAGTTTTTGCAACTAGAGCGCAATCGTCAGCGTATTGAAGTTCTGTGATGAATTTTGTACGTGTTTTTGCCCTGAGTCTTTTTATGTTGAACAGACCGCCATCATATCTGTATCTAATGCCCAATCCCCTCTCCTGCAGTTTGCTGTCCACTATAATGGAGAGCGCTGCCATGAATATGTTGAATAGGAGAGGCGCTAAGACACATCCCTACCTAACTCCTGTATTTGTCAGGAAGGGATCGCTCAGTGATCCATGATGTGACACTCTTGACTGGTTGTTGTTATGGAGGCTTTTACACACTGTAAGAAATTTGTTGGGTACTCCGAACTTTTTCATAATCGTCCAAAGTGCATCTCTGTTCACAGAGTCGAAGGCTTTTGTTAGGTCGATGAAGGCAACATAAAGTTTAGACTGCTGTTCTTTTACTTTTTCCTGTAGTTGGCGGATGGAAAATATGGAATCGACGGTGCCGCGGTTAGTGCGAAAACCCGTTTGCGATTCTGGAAGGATTTTTTCTATATGTGGGTGCAGGCGGTTTGACATAATTTTTGCAAGAATTTTTCCACCGATAGCCAAGAGTGAAATTCCCCGGTAGTTTCCGCAGTCTGATGCACTTCCTTTGTTCTTAAATATATTCACTATATTTGCGTTGCAAAAGTCCTGAGGCTCTCTCCGCTCTCCGCCTAAGGCTCTCTCCGCTTTCCCATATGACATCGAAGAGAGCCTTAAGATGACCAATAAGTTCTTTACTTGCACACTTATAGATTTCCGCCGGAATCGCGTCACAGCCAGCTGATTTGTTGTTTTTAAGCTGTTTTATGGAGGCCTTTATTTCCTGTTCTGTTATGGGGATATCTAATACATCGAGGCTGTTATACTAAAGTATTGTTTTAGCACTTCCATATTGGGGTTATTTTCTTGGTTAAGGATATGGCTGTAATGCTCTTTCCAGC